CCCAAAGGCTCTTATGTTAAAGGCACGGCCCCAATGTGGTGCTGCTACAAGGAGGTGACTAGATCATGAAGGAAGTCACTTCCTTGGCTGGTTAATCCAGGAATGGGCTGTTAAAGGTGGAGCCTGGAGGAGAAGGTTTGTGGACGGACAGTCTGTCTCTGAAGGTCCCTTGCTTTTACTACTCCTAGATACTGTAGGGTGAGCAGTTTTGCTCTGCCATGCTATAGGCAAGGGAGCCAGGCACATATGGGCCATGAGCCAAAGCAACTCTTTCCTCCCCTTGGCTTTTAACAAATAATACACCACGGTGATGAAAAGCCACCACCAAGATAAACCCTGTAGACAATGATGCCAACACCTCAATGCTGATTGAATGACCAAAAAAGTGCCAGTATCCTTCATGCAAGAGCAAGAGATGACCGACAGCCTGGGAGGAAGTCTGCCAGCCAAACAGCACTGGAGGGAGGAAAAAAATCTCCAGAGCCGATGCAGGATTCGCACAGCTCACCAAAAAGCAAGTAACCGACCAGGCATTTCTCAAGAAGACCCGAGCGGTCTACAGCACACACTTGCTCCAGATCACAGGTCACCAGAGACACAGAAGAAATCCACAACAGGATGACACCTCACATCTGTTAGCAAGAAGGAACAGGTGGTGGAGAAAAAGGAGGAACCCTTTACACTGCTGGAGGGAGCGAAATCTAGGTCAGCCACCAGGGGAGACATGGTGAAGCCTACACACACACACACACACACACACTAAAAATAGAACCACCACTAATGATCTACAGCATCCAATGGAACTGAGGCCAGGCTGCGGAAGACACAACCACACCCCAAATTTACTGCAGCCCTGGATACTCACAGCAACCATGATGCAGAAGCGCCTGGGTGCTCATGGATATGAGAGAGAAGGTGCTGTGCTCCCACACAACACTGAACATGAAGGAACTCCTGTCCTGTGCCAACACAGAGAAACCGGAGGACACACATGAAACAATCCTGGCACAGAATGAACACAGTGTGACCTTGCTCACAGGTGGACAACCTAAAGCTGTGGAATACAAAGTTGGCTTTTCTGGCTGGTGGAGGTGGAGAAACGGGGAGACGTTAATCCCAGGCAAAGAAAAAAGCCCCATCCTGGTAGTTGGGCAAGTTCTGCAGACCTGGTATGCAGTGGGTGATTTCAGATGACAATCTATACTATGTGCAAAGACTTAGAAGGGCTGGTGTGTGGTTCAGAGAATCTGCTTGATATGTGTGAGGCCCTACGTTCAATCCCCAGTACCACCCACGCGTGCATACAAACACACACATATACACTTGCTCACACAGTAGATTTTAAATGTAACCCTGACAGGTGACGGATATACCAAATAACTCAGTGGTCATTGTTTCGCAGCGTATATAATATGAAGCACACTTTAAATCGTTGGATGGACATTGGTTCCTGCTGACTCCAGGCTCCTACACGTCTATGGCTGTAGGACACCAAGGCCCTAAGCCTGGACTTCCCAACAAGTTGTCTGCGCAGTGGATCTGGTGTGTCTGGGAGGAAGGGCCATCTGTGGACAACTCAGCTAGCAGCATGCACATACTACTATTTGTCTGCAGGTTGCCAGGAGTGAGAGCTAAGCATTCAGGTATTTTTCCATGGAGGGGTCTTGTCTCCTTGCATCAAAGTTAAACAGAAACTCAAGTTAACCGAAGCGTCCTAAAAAACAGCAGCATTTCGAAGTCTCACATTTGATTAAGGAGCCAGATAAAGGCCAAGGTGAGAATAGTCGGGCACTCATGGGGTACCCCATGGAGGAAACATCTATGGCATTTGTGGACGGCTGGAGTGACGAACACAGCAGAGTCCCCCACAGCACACTCTCAATGCTTTCCAAATGCTCCCCAATGGGCCAGCATGGTCCGTGAGGTTCAGTCACACTGTGTGACTCTTAGTTGCACCTAGTGTGTCTACAGGCCTGTTGCAGATGCAGGATTTGCATTCCCCAGACCTTGCTTTCTCCCAAGAGCTTTCAGACTCCCAGGGAAATTGTACCTATTGTCATTCACAAGATAAACAAGGCTTTGAGACATAGAGGGGTGAGCTGATGGCTTGATGGCTTTCCTGGAGGCGAGGCAGGCCCAACTGTAGACCTACTAATTGGCAGCTGGAAGTGAGTACTAGTGGGAGCAGAGGCGCAGACCCTGGGTGCTGTACCTCTGCACATCCATCCATCTCTCCCCCATATACCCAAGGGACAGGCCTATATACACAAGACCCTTCCCGGGGGCCCTGTGATATGCTAACCAGCCATGTCAAGGAGCTCCCATGGGGTGACCCTCTACCTCCCAGCTATCACCCCACATGCTGACTGAATGCTGTAATGTTCCCTGTTACCTTGGCACCAGTCATTCACCTCATGTCTCCCTCAGGGGTCAGAAGAAAAGACACGGGTGTGGAGCTACAAGCTTGGCTAGACAAGCGAGTCCAGGGGCCTCAGGATGCTAGGCAGGGCCAGGTGTGCAAGGCGAGGTGTGCATATGTATAAGGGCAGGACGGCTGTACCAGGTGTATAGAGGAATTTTAGGTATTTTTCCATAGAAACATCTTGTCTCTTCAGATCAAAGTTAAACAGAAACGCAAAGTTAACTGAAGTCAGGTGTGTAAGTCCAGGTGTGTAGGGGTGCTGAAGTAGGAACACAAGGCCAGGTGTGCAAGACCAGGGGCTTAAAGTGACTGCAGGACTTTTGGGTCAGACTACACTGGCCTGGGTGAGGAGAATGGGGCAGGGCCCACATGGGGGGGGGTGGGTGGGTACCCACCATGGTTCTGGTCAGACTCTGAGGAGGAAGTACATTCTCCTTGTAGTCCCAATCCCCAAGCCACCTGGTGAAGTCAAAGACTGTCCCTATCCTAGATGACCATAGGGCTAAGATTCGAACCCAGCACCTCCCACTCTCAAACCTCACATTTGCCACTAAGGGGTTAGAGAACACTGCCGGGGAGGGGTTAAGTCTTCCTCCTTTCTGGTCACACTGAGGTTGGAGTAATCAGCCTGCCACAGAGGCCCAGCAGGAGTGGGGCTCACCCTGGAGTGGAAGAGCCTGGGAAAGAGAGGCCAGAGAAGGTAAAGGACTCTCCTACCCCTGAGTTTCCACGGAAGCCTTCCCTGCCAACCCTGCCTGGAAAGGGGCCTTAGCTCAATGAGGTTTGCCACCCAGAGGTGGCCTGAGGGGATGAGGACCATGAGCAGTGCTGGACCAGTCCCCAGGACTTGCTGGGGATGCAGCCCACTGTGTCCAGATGTTCAGCCACTGGCTGACCGGGCAGTCACAGTTAAAGACATTAGTGTCCCGTGGAGCTCCACTGTGCCAGCTCTAGCCCTGTGCCCCATGTGGCTGAGCCCTCACTCCAAGGAGCCTCTGGCTGCCCTTGAAGCAGACACGTGGCCAACAGCCCACGGGATTCCCCATCATCTTGCATGACCCTATCAGAAGATGTATGCTGTTCTCCCGTCAAGACACATCCCTGGGGAGCTGACCATGCAAGATGGGCTCTGCCAGCCGTGGCCAGGTGTGGGCCTCCACCGAGAGGCAGCCGGAGCCACTCCGCATTCAGCTATTTCAAGGATGGAATGTGTGTGGGGGGATTCACTGTAACACCAGCTGGGTAGAATCTGAGTCCATAACCCTGGGTTAGCCCCACCCTCTCAGGTCCAGCTGTGGCCCCTTAATGAAGCCATGAGCATCCCCTGGGCTTCTGCACAGCCCAGGTCCTTCCTGGAGCATGCATGCCCCACATCCAACTCCCCTGCCTGTAGCCCATCCCTCACCCTCTGCATACATCTTCTCAGCCAGAGACCTGTTCATCCTCTGGGTGGTCCTCCTGCATGCCTGTTCCTCCATTCCAGTTCTTCGTGTGCCTCTCTCCTGGGACTGAGCACTGTCTATCTATCTAGTGCTTGACCCTGCCCACCTGGAGCCCCTTTCTTGCTATACCCTAGGCCTGCATAGGGTCTGCGCAGGCTCTGGGCCTGCAACTTGCCAGGAACCACTCAAGTTCGTCCCGTTGGCATCCAACAAGCCGATTCCCTGCAGAATCCCTGGGAACCTCATGGCTGCATTACAACACACCTGAAATTACTACAGCACACGCCCCTTTGAGTCCAGCATAGCCTCCTGGCTCCAGAGCCCATTGACTAAAGGTCAAAACCATGTCCCCTCATGCAGAGGACAGATGTTGTGCCCTGCAGGCTAGCCGCGACCTCCCAACACAAACAGTAGCTGAGGAGTTAGGAGCACAGCTTGGGAGCACTATCCAGGGGTCTGGTCCTTGACTAGACACAAAAGGAATCTCCCTGGGGCCTGGTCCAACTGCTTCCTGGCCTGCCCTGATCCTGGGATAATTTGAAGAATGACCCCCTCTTCCGTTCCACCCATCACGTAGCCATCAGAGGCTATGTACCCCAGAGCTTTAGATCTTGGCTGGGCAGAAGCATGTGGGCTGCATAGGAGGCTGGAGCCTATGACTCTCCCTGTGTGGCTGACACCTTTCAGACCTTTGGCTAAGACTGGCTGGGGCCACAGGGAGAACATCAGGCAGCGTGGCTCGGGGGCTAGGAATAAGGACGGAGCAGCTGGAATTTGGTAGGAATCGAAGCTCCTAAGTTCCTGTCACGTTACTGCTCTGTTTCTCAGTTTCCAGCCTGTGACTGAGGCAGCACCTAGCTAACCCCGTGAGAACTAAGTCTCCCCATGATTCAGGGAGCACCTGGGGCAGGCGATGACCAGTCACACCTGCTGCAGACATAGAACCCCCAGTTATGGCCATGCCCAGATCCCAGCCTCCTCCCCTTCACAGGACACCATACCCCAGCACCTCTTCAGGGCCATCACCAGACTCGGTGAGGCAGGGGCAGGGATCCTGTGCCAAGCTCTCACCAGCCCAGGCTGAGTGCTCTCGTCAAAGCAACAAGGAAAGGGGAGGATGGTGGCCACTTGGTTACCTGCAGCAGGCCCAATGAACACACAGTACCCATCCTCCTGGGAAGGGAGCAAGGCACAGTCGACAGGCAGCCTGCCCCCATCTAGGTGGTTCCAGCATCCATCCTCCAGGACCTCACAGAATTGACGACAAGGTGGCAGAGCAGGTGGTGGGCCAGGGCCACACGAGGGAGCCAGCAGCAGACAGAAGAACCAGGCAAGGAAGGGATGGCAGTTTGTCTGGAGGAGGTGCCCCCACACCCGTGCAGTGGCCTCCACCTCCTCGCTGTGTCTGTGGTTTAGATGATTAGGCAGCCAGAAGTGTCCAACACCTAGGCGACTGCAGATGGTCAAAGTGGGTGGCAGGGGCAGGCACCGGCTGGTAGAGGTCAGAGAGCCAGTTCCCAGCACTGTGGAGTCATTAGAAAGCTCAGGCCCTACAGAGGTAGCCTCGTGGGAAACCCAAGCACCAGGGAACCCAGGTAAAGCTGCTACTTGAGAGAGTTGGGTTGAGGGGTCAGAGGAAGGGACAGAGAGTAACCCGTGCACACTCAGAGAAGCCGTCACCAGAGGACCCGTCACCAGGGGAAGCAGAAGAGGTATGTGCCTGTGGATGTCAGAGTGGACATCAGCGTGGGGGTGCTGCTGGCTGGGCCTGGATGCCATAAGCAAGAGTCCATTCCCCTCCAGATGCCTGGGCTGCCTGGGGGGCTTCTGGCTCCCCCAGGGAGGAGCCCTGACTTGTGTAGAAGAGAGAAAAGCTCTACCTGGGGGTGCTGGTGGCACTGAGGGTCTTCCCAGTGGTGCCTGGAGGCTGCTCAGGGAGGGAGGTGGCTGGGTGGGCACAGCCAGGGTGCCAGCCTCGGTTGTCTGAACATCTGGAGAACTTGGAACGCCACCGCTAAGCCAGAGGGTGGTCTTACCCTCCTGGGGGGCGCTGGAGATCTCAGTAGGAGTGAGGAGGACAGTAGGGGTGGAGGAAGCTGAGGCTTCCATCCCAACAGAGTTCTCGGTAGCCGTGTTCTCATCCCACAGCTGGACGAAGCTCCGAATGCCCTGGGCCACATTCAGAATCTTGGCTCCAACGCCGGCAACATTCTCCTCCTTCATGTCTGGGCTCGCGGCAGAGGCCATCGGGGGGATGGGGATGGCTGCTGTTGTAGGGGTCCCACTCTGGCCAGCTTCCTGATCCTCCAGGGGCAGCTTGGGGTTGGCAGGAGCCGTCTGCTGTCCTGTGAGGCCATCCTGGGGGACCACGTGCGTGGTGGGGCTCTCTGTGGGCTCCACAGGTGAATTGATCTGGGGCTCGGAGAGCGGATCATTGGTCTTGGTGGACCACAGCCACACCAGAGGACTCAGGGGATTCAAGGGATTCAGGGGATTCCGGTCAGGCCTGGCAGGCTCAAGGCAGCAGGAGAGCAGCAGCAGCAGCAGCAGCCACAGGCCCCTGCTCTTTTTAGGAAAGGGTCTCACCCTGTAACCTTGGTTGATCTGTAACTCATTATGTAGACCAGGATGGCTTCAAATGCAGAGATCCTCCTGCCTCTGACTCCTGGGTGCTTGGATGAAAGGTCACTATGCCTGGTTCCTATCTTTCTGTTGTGGTTCTTCTCTGATGATGTCTTATGTTGTGCTGGGGAGCCATCAGGGCAGTGCAAGCCTCTGAGCTGGGGCGGCTCCTGTGGTCCTGGAGGGTGGGGCCTGCCAGGTCCCCACCCTCCCCCATCCATGCTTCCCAGCCTCACTCCTCCACCACCTCCCTCTGGCAGAAGGGAAGGAACCCAGCCTGAGAATCAAGGTGACCCACCAACCAGTACCTTCAGATTCCATTTAACCCTTTCCTTTCTGCACCTCCAGGAGCAGCCACAGAGCAGAAAGGCAGTCAAGGGACACCCGGTGGAACTCCAGCATGTGTTACTTAGAGCTGCTGAGTCTCTGCTGAGACTGTGTGTGGGTGTGGGGGGCCTGGCCAGGGTCCTTGGGGACACGGAGGCCACACCCCAGCTCCTACTGCCTCCATTGGAGAACACCCGGAAGTTCTGGCTGCTGGCCACCATGCTGTGATGAAATGGAGTTTGAAAAATGCCCAACTTGCTGCTGTTTCAATTCTTGTGTTACAGCTGTTGCTTCAGAGACAGGGTGTGTGTCTGTCCCTTCCTCCACCCCTCCCCACCTCTCACTCCCACCCCTCAGTTAACCTGCAGCTCTCTTACCTGCTCAAACCCTAAAGCCATCAATTCATCCTTGGACCCTCAGAGTCTACTGGGGCCTTGGTGGACACCTAACTTCTTTCTCAAATTTATTCTTAAATTTTCTTACATGACCTGCCTGCAGTGATCTCTCTGCAGTGACGTGCTCTGTTGTCATTGGTGTCTCTAGGTCCTTGCAAGTGTTTTAAAACTAACTCTCGGGAGTTGCTTAAATTGACAGACTGTAGCAGTAGTTAAGCCTCAAGATAAAGCTAAAGGAAAACGTGTGGGATTCATCCAAGGGATATGCCGCCAACAGCAGGCTCCTGCCTCTTGTCTTATGGAGTCCAGCTGTGTGTAGAGGGCATGGCATTGCTCAGTGGCCTGTGGGGACACTCTAGTCACCCCAAGTCCTTCAAAATGAGGCTGGGGAGTGAGATCTGCCCACAGCCTCGGTGGGGCCCAGGGGCTAAAATAGAGCTGGGGGCCAAGTTCTTGCACCTTGGGACTCCACCATTATCAGGCATCCCCTCAGGCTGTGTCCCAGGAGTGACAGAATCAGAGCACTGCCATTGCTCAGGCATACGCTTCAACCTGGTCAGTCTGCAGCTGTATGCTTTCCGCGCCATTTCTGCTCCTTTCCTTCACACAGCTTCAGATAAAACCTCACTCTATCTAGAATAAACCAGGAGCTTGGTGGTTTGTCAGTCCTGCAGTCTGCTCTAGGTTGCAGCACACGGGTACCTGTCAGCCTTCACTGCCCTGACCCCATGAGGTCAGACAGGCTGCTACCCCTCATTTCGGAGGGGTTGGATGGTCATTCAGAACACAGCAAAGTGTAGGTGGGGAAGGGGCATGCTCGCCTGGCTGCCTGACCACATGTCTCACCAGCCCCTATAACCCTGAGACATTTTGGATAGCTAGACTTGGGGATTGAGCTATGGGCCGCCATCTGTGAGGCCCACATAGCCTAATTTGTATTTAGAGAGGCCCAGGCTACAGCTGGGTTTTCGCATTTCTGAGACATTCTGTATTTAGTCAGGCCCAACATCCACAGAAACGAAGCCAAGGCGACAGAATGCCCCGCAATCCCCCCACATTCCATGGTCCTGTTTCCAGGACCCCGCAGAGTACAGCTCTCTGCTGCACCCTAGATGAGGTAAATACAACAGAGTAAGGAGTACTGGCGCTGTGAGTGGTCCTGGTCCCACTTCTTGCTTGGCCTCTCTAGGATATTGTAGGTACCCCATGTCTATCTAAATACTTCCAACCAGGGCAGCGCCTAGGACCCCCCAACCCAGGAAAGATAGGCATTTATCCAAATACTTTGCTCTTCCCCAGCTCTGTACCAACTCCAAGGCAGTGTGAACCCCAGCTATCCTGTGACAGCAGGGACAGCTGCTCAGGCTTCATCCAGGCCCTCAGTCTCCAGTGTCTAAGGGAGGGCATGGTGCCTGGATCCTGTGCCCTAAGTGAGGGTGGAGGGACGTCTCGGGACCAGGAGGAGCATGGAGGCAGAGGGAGCCCTCAGGGAAGTGGGGCCCTCATGAGGAGGAAGGAACAGGGCCAGCAGAAACAGGTTAGCTACAGAGGAGGAGCAGGAACTCGGTTCAGGCAGATACCGGAGAACGAGAGGCCAAAACATCTCAATGAAAACAAGTTCTGCCTGGCCAGCAGGCAGAAAGGTGGCCAGGGTCACCCTGAGATGAACTCTGGAGAAGCAGCCGCTGCCAAGGATGGCCACCCTCAGTCCCATTCAGAAGGGCCCAACAGAGGGTCAGAGCTCTGTTGCTCCCTTCTCAGCACTGGGCTACACCTTTGTCCTTCCCTGCTCTTGGCCTGGGTTCCCTAGCAATGGAAACTCAAAGCAGGATGGGACCTCACTCCAGCACCGCTTCCAATTGTTGCTTTATGGCTTCCTCTGTGGCTTCCTTCCTCAGTTTCCCCAGTGACAGGAACGTTTTCTCATCCTACTCCATGAAGCTGGCAGTCCTAGAGAGCTGAGTACAAAGGTGGGCCCAGCAGAGTCCCCCACATCAGTCAGGCACATGCTGAGTGCCCTGTGAGAGCCCAGCAGAGTCCCCCACACCAGCCAGGCATATATATGTTGAGTGCCCCGTGAGAGCCCATTCCACTGAATGGAGAAATAGAGACAAGGAGGCCACGGGCCTGGCTCAAGAGCCCAGAACTGTAAGAGTGAAGCAGTGGTACATGGAAGCGTGCACAGGAACAAATAAATACACACCGACACTCTCATGTATCACACGCCATAGCTCTACCACCAGGTTCTACGCTATGCCCCTTCTACAGCCTCAGCCAGCTGCCCTTCCTGGCCCCACTTTCTCCAAGCTGTCTTGAGTTACTGCCACCCTCTCCCAAGGCTGAGTGTAGTGGCAATGCTGCAGTGTGATGAAACAGCCCCAAAGTCATGTCCCCAAGTGTGGGGAGTCATCAATCAATGGCTGTCTAAAGGGCAGGGCTGTGTTGTTTGGATCAGAGTTAAGCTGCAAACAGCTGGAGACCAAGTCCCTCTCTAGCGGTGGGGCAGCCATGTGCACACTGAGTTCTGCGTCTCCCAGTTAATCCTCCACGATGCTCTTACATCTGTTTTAGAAATGCCCAGTGAACAGTCTGCTTGACAATTCCCTAATGTGATTTCATGCCTCCAAGTGTCTCTGGAAAATCCCAGGACAGAGTCCAGAACCCCTCCCCTGCATGTGTAGGGAGAGGGGCTCAGCCCCATGGCAGGGAAGGGGGAAGGAGAGACTCTCAACTCATGCCATGTCCTCCTCATCCCTGCCTCATTAAAATGCTTGCTCCTGGGACCACAAGCTGGCCCAGGGACTGAATATGAATCTTCCGGGCAAAGTCAGGAGCAAGGGATGGAGGTAGTAGCTCCCGTTTCAAGGCCCCGAGTGCCCACACCTCATCCAGGGCTCTCTGGTGCTTAGCACTCCCACACCTCGTTTCTCATTTCTGCAACATTACGTATCCAGCGTTCACTTGTGAGCACCGTGGATGGATTCATAGCTCAGGCTCTAAGCTTTGGCTTCCATCAGGAGTCTTGTATTAAACATGCATATGCACATGGGCACACACTCACGGGAGCACATTCCCACAGGTGTACTTACACACACACACACACACACACACACACACACACACACACACACACACACACATACACACACACACACACACGGACACGCCCACTCAGCACACTTCAACACACATGCTCATGCTCATACATACACACATGCTCACAGAAACACTTGTACACTCCGGGAGAACCAAGGTCCTAGCCTAGAGGTCATCGTCTCTGTCCCGCCCAGCCCTGTGTATGAAGGGTCCCATGTGGCATCATTCTGTGTACCCGCAAGAACACAGGTCAAGGTTCCAAATGCCATATCACGCTTGTGGGAGGGAGAACAGACACTGAGGAGCCAGGAGCAGCACCAACCCATCTCCCTGCCACTGCCTGGTCGAGGAAGACCTCAGACCCTTTGGAGATGGATGGCACAGTGTCATGCAGGATCTGTGAGAGGCATGGAGACTGCTTGGCCCAGATGATAATAGCCATGATGCTAAGGAGAGAACCCAAGCTAAAGAGAAAGAGATAGCTACATCCAGGGAAAGGTAGAGGGGGGCACTGTCTCAGGACTAAGAACCTGGCGAGGTGGGAGAGAGGCCCAGGCTGGAGTCTCTACCCATCTGACTCAGGTTCATTCCCTGGCAGGGGCAGGCTGAGTGCTGAACATGGGGGCTGGGGTGGGGGACTGCGGCCCTGGAGCAAACATCTAAGTGAGTTCTCAAGGGACTCAGCACAAACCTGGCTCAGTCACTATTCCACAGGTAGCCACTGAGAGTACCTCCCATGAGGCCCCACTCCAGCTCCTAGAGAGCAGGAGGAACTGGTCAAAAACACAGGGATCAACACACGGCATTCCCCAGGGAACAGCAATGCCACAGAAGCAGGCTTCCTGCATGCCGCAGATTCCCAACCCTCGGCCTGCGGCTTCCCTTCGCCTCACTTTCCTAGAAGTCTGTGTCCACTGGCAACCTGTGATTCGAGGAAATGCCTGAGGCCTTCTTGGACTGCATCTGAGTCTGACCTTGGGCTGGCTCTCCTGCTCTGCTGCCTGTCACCTTGTGAGGAAACACGTCTCTTCTATCCCTAGGCACCAGTCTGACGTAGTTTGTCAAGTCTAACCCTCCCGGAAGCTATGGCTGAGGCTCCTGTTGGCAGAGCTCCCATAGTGTGGAACCTGGAAACCAAGCCATTCTGGCAACACACTTGTGCTGACCTCCACAGAGCCGTGTTCTGCCCAGATCACTTTTGACTTAGCTGAACAGCTGGCATATCTGGAAGGGCCTCCTGAGTCTGAGAGAGGGCCTATATGGCCTCAGGGACTGGTGCAAACTGCCTCTACAATGGCAGACAGTCAATACAGGTCCCCTCTCGGCCCTTGGTGACTAGAGTCACAGGTGACTCCTCCAGCCTACACCAGCCAACAGGGCTCAAGATTTGGTCAAGGTGGACAGACGGCAGCAAAAGCTCTGCAGAGCGATCACCTCCAGTGAACCCAGGAGCACCTGGAAGGGACAAATGAGTTTATCTCGGTTTCAGAATCAAGGTACCAAGACACGGGCCGTCCCTCACCCTTGCCTGCCAAGGTCCTTGGGTGTGCCACAGCAAGTTCTTGCCATGCAAGAAGCCACTCCCTCTGCACCATCAGTCCCAGCTCTAGAATGACAGGGACACAAGGATTCTTGGGAACAAGAGGACTACCAAATCGGGAACCTAAAGGCACCATTTCATTTCAGCTGTGTTTCATTCTGGCAAAACTCCCCACCCCCCCACCTCCTGCAACCCCCAGGAGCCCAGCCTGTCCCTACTACCCTGCTGTTTCCTGTTTGCAACCCCCCTGAACCTCCTCATGTAACCTGGGGCATCACTGTAGCTCAGCTAAGCACAACCTCTACAGTCCCAGAAGACACTGAATCTTCTGTAGGCCTGGGTCACTTTGCCTTGGGGACCACACCCTCCTCCCATCACCATGGGGACAAGGGGACAAGCACCCATCTGAACAGAGTCATTAGCTCTGCATGTGCCATTCCTCCCAGCACTCAGTCCCTCCAGAAGGTTCCACCCTCTCACTGCAACTGCAAGACGCACCCCTGCCCCAAGCAAGGGTTTGTTCTGTCTTGTTGGCCCGTCTGGTCTGGTTTGGATTCCTGAATAATGCAGTCTTTTATTTTCATTAAAAACTCCAAGACACCCACATTTGAGCAGGAACCGGCTCTTAGCAGAGTCAGCCGTTTAGACGAAGAGACTGTGAGCCTCAGCGAGGCTCTGGGAGACAGCTGGGAGCCAAAGGGTCAGAAGCAAGCCCATCACTGCCAGGTGTCACATCTTGTACAGAGGCCACCCTGAGACTTAGCGCATGGGAATCTCTGGAGTTCCTGCATCTCCATGGGCCTCTCAGGGGTAGCCACTGCCTATCCCAGAGCTGAGGAGGAAAGAAGAGTGATGGAGGAGCCAGGAAGTTGCCACAGCCCACTGCCTACATTCCATATGGCTCTCCCCCATGTCCACCGGCTGGGGCCAGTATGATCTAGACCACTCCGGTAAGATCTGGGTCTTCTGTAGACTCCTTCCTTTGGAAATAGAGGCCACATGGGGGCCCTGAGAAGGCAAGTCAGCACTGGGACAGTGTCCTGGTCCCACCCACTGACCCAGCTAGACCCTGGCAAGTGTCCCCAAGCCTCTGAGGGGACACTCTGTCATTCCATCAGGAGACAGTTCATACAAAAAGTATTGAAACACTGGTTCTTCACTCTCCTCTTTGTCAGAAATATCTGGCATCATCAGTGTGCAGCTGTAAACTCTCTGCTGGGCCCGGCACTCACAGCAAATTTTCAAACTCAAGGGTAAAGGCCGGTGGCTCTGATGACGAGCCTCTCGTCCCCTCCGCGCAGGAAGGGCTCACAGACAAGCTGGATAAGCTCTACAGGTTTCACAGCCTGGGCTCTACACCAGCCAGGCAGTGCCTTCTCTGGTCCCTGACTGCCTGGTAGAGTCACCTGGAACTTTCCTGGAGAGTAAGAAGAGGTGGCTAGCCACGCCTTTAATCCCAGCACTCAGGAGGCAGAGGCAGGAGGATCTCTGTGAGTTCTGTAGTCTACAGAGCAAGTGCCAGGATAGCCAGGGTTGCACAGAGAAACTCTGCCTCATGAAAGAAGAATAAAGAAGGAAGAAGGGAAAGGGAGGAGGAGGAGGAGGAGGAGGAGGAGGAGGAGGAGGAGG